CCATAGCTGCTGTACTGTCACTCCAGCCCGTCTTTTTTTTTTTTTAAATAAGATTGCATCTTTTCTTACAGCTGCAGGATGTTCCGTTGTATTATATATACCACGGCTTCTTTATCCACTCCTGTCGTTGGACATTCGGAAAGAGGCAGATCAGAAATCACATAAGGACAGTGGTCTTGGATACTTTGGTGGTGGCGAAGGTGCAAGTAACTACATCATTATCATAAAAGTTATCATTGTAACTCATCTTACGTAAGGTATAATAAATATATGCATGTATACATATACACACATATGTATGTATATATATATATTATATATATATATATATATATAGTTTCGGGGTTATGCTCCGCTCTGTTCAGTGTCCTGGTGGTGCCGGAGGGACCATGTGAGGTTCTGGTGATCCAACCTGGATCAGCTGTGTGCAAGGCAAGTGCCCTACCCGCTGAACTATCTCTTGGCTTCCATTTACACATTTTTTTCTGTGATGCTCAGGGCTTACTTCTGGCTCTGCACTCAGGGATCACTCTGACAGGGCTCAGAGACCATGTAGGGAGCCAGGGATCAAACACAGGTAGGCCGCATGCAAGGCAAGCTCTGCTCTCTCTGTGGGCAAAGACCACTTTCTCCAGAGAGCTGGGAGCTAGATAGCTTCATGGCTGAATGTTTGCCTTGAAGCATGAGGTTGCGTGTTTGATTCCTGACGCCTCCTGCATTCTGTGTGTGATCACGAAGGCCCTGGTTTCAGGGTCCCAAGTGCTGTACAGAGTGTGGTCTTCAGATCCACCATGGCTAGGCGTCTGTGAACAGCCCACCAGAATGTGTGCGGTCTCCAGCAAGCACCGTAGCCAAGCATACAGCCCCCAGCGGGCACAGTCAAGCATATGGCCTACCCTAGAGTGATCCCCACAGCCAAGGGTGTGCCATCCCCAGGTCCTCCGAACAGCAAAAATGCAAGTGTGAAGATTCACAAAGTGACCGGTGGTACCTTTGATAGCTCAAAGGACTCAAACACTTGCCTTGCATATAGAGACCCAGGACCTACCGCATGGTCTCTCTGAGCATCACCAGGAGTGACCCCAACACTGTGCCAAGAGGAGACCCTGAACTCTGCTGGGTGTGTCTGCCCCCCACCCCCAGAAGCAAACTTGGACAAAATGTTTGTGCTCAAAATTATATTCTCTAAAATCTATCTATCTATAGATATAGATATATAGATATAGATATGGATATAGATATAGATATATTCTCTTGATGGACCAGAGAGATAGCCCAACAGGTAAGGCACTTTTCTGGCATATGACAGACCTTGGTTTGACTGCCGGCACCCCACAGGGTCCCCTGAACACGGCCAGGAGTGATCCCTGAGCGCAGAATCAGGAATAGCCTCAACATTCCATGTGTGGCCCAACATTTCCCTGTGCATCCCCCACCCTCCAAATTCTCTTCTCTTACTCGGTGGACTATATGGGATACCGGGGATCGAACCTGGGTTGGCCGCATGCAATGCAAATGCCCTACCCGCTGTAGTATTGCTCTGGCCCTGTTCTCTGGCTTCCTAGCTGTTGAGTTTGCTCTGTCTCTTCCTCCTTTTGCACCCACCCCTTTGTTGTGGTGGTGGGGGCTTGCACATTTTGGTTGTGATGCTCACACACACTTGCTCACCATGCCTGCCATGTGCTCTCAGTTGCAGTGCTCACGCCCACTGTGTATGACACATCCTGACCCACGGGCATGAGCTGCCAGGTCTCCCGGCCTGGGTACTCTTGGTGGTGTGGGTTGGCTCCAGGGTGCAAGCTCATGGTCTCACACCTGGACACAGGTACTCGACCACAGAGCCACATCTCTGGGCCCAACGAGCTAATCTAGCACTGTGTGGTCCCTTGAGCACCACTGGTGTGGCTCTAATACAAAAATCCACGGAGGCCTGATGGATAGTACAGCAGCTTGGGAGCTTACCTTGCACGTGGCTCACCCATGTTCCACCCCCAATACCCCATATGGTCCCCCAAGCCCCGCCTGGAGTAATTTTTGAGTGCAGAGCCAGAAGTAAGCTCTGAACACCACTAAGTGTTCCCCCTGCCAAAACAAAACAAAACAAAACAAAAATACCCTAAGAATTATTTTCCCAGTACTTTTCTTTCTTTCCTTTTTTTTTTTCTTTTTGGGTCACACCGGCAATGCACAGGGGTTACTCCTGGCACTGCACTCAGGAATTACTCCTGGCAGTGCTTGGGGGACCATATGGGATGCTGGGAATTGAACCTGGGTCAGCCACGTGCAAGGCAGGCCCTACTTGCTGTACTGTAGCTCCAGCCCCACAGTATTTTCTTTATATGTGCCAACATAACTCAGTTTTTCAGAAATACTATTATTCTACCATTAGATATCGCTTAAATTTTGTCATGTTCAGTCACTCACTATATTCCATTCTCATATTTAATATATCATAATCTCTCATTATATTCTAAATTCTGGCGAAATCCTGGACCAGTTTGTGGAGGTTCTTATCCATTGCTCTGGTTGACTGCCTCTAGGTTTCCCTGTTTTGTTCCATTTCTGTGGTGCCTGAGAGGGTGCCTCCGCGTGCACAGCCTGAGTTCTCACACTGAGTCCTAATTGTGTAACAGCTGTCAGTTTAGTGCGTCACAGTCTTGCTCAACCATCACCATTATCTGATTCCAAAATTTATGGCCCCCACCAGACACTGTTCTTTCAGCAATCACCCTCCGTTTCCCAGCCCCCTCCCTCTTTTTATTTTTGGGCCACGTCCAGTGGTGTTCAGGGGTTACTCCTGGCTCTGCACTCAGGGATCACTTCCTGGTAGGCTTGTGGGGAAACCATATGGGATGCTGGGAATTGAACCCAGGTCAGTCATGTGAAGGCAAGAGTCCTGCCTGCTTAAATTAAAAAAAAAAAAAAGCGATGGGGGGAAGCATGTAGTGATAGCACAGTGGGTAAAGCACTTGCCTTGCACATGGCCACCTGGCTTCAATCCCTGGCATCCTGCTGGTCCCCTGAGCACCAGCAAGGAGTGATTCCTGAGTGCAGAGCCAGGAGTAACCCCTGATCATCATCAGGTGTGACCCCAAAACAAAAACAACCAGAAAAAATTAGGTCACAACAGGTGGTGATTGGGGGCTATTCCTGGTGATGCCAGGGAGGGATCGGAAGCTCCCATGGGCATAACCTTTGCACGCTCTCCTCGTTCCCAGTGAGTTATGTTTGTGAAGCCAGGGATAGTTCAGATCTCCGCCTGCAAAGGTGTACAGTTGACCACTGAGTCCTATGTCTAGCCCTCTAACTTCATTTTGGTTTTTACCCCTTTCTTACCTTCTCTCCATTAATTTTTTTTTCTTTATGGGTCTAATAGGTGATGCACAGAGGGTTACTCCTGGTTCTGCACCAGGAATTGCTCCTGGCGGTGCTCGGGGGACCATATGGGATGCTGGGAATCAAACCCGGGTCGGCCACGTGCAAGGCAAACTCCCTACCTGCTGTACTGTCGCTCCAGCCCCTCTCCATTAATTTTGTTCCTGACTCTCGGCCGCTGTGCTTGCATGCTGTGCTGTAGGACCCACTAATGGTCACACTACTTTAGTGGTGGTGCTTGCTGAAGGTTGAATTTCATTAAGAAATTTAAAAAAATTAGGCACCATAAACCTGTTAACGAAGGGTTTCCATGTATAAAAATATTCCAACATCACAACCTCCACCCAAGTATCTACTTTCCTTCATACCTGTCCGGGTGTTCCCCCCACTGTCACTCCCCTTCATTATTGTGGTGTTTATGCATAACTGACTTTGCTGCAACCAGAAATCACTCATGACCCTTACGATCACAGGCAGAGTCGTCAGGATCCCACCTGGCGTATGTGGTGGCATCTGGGGTGGGATGCACAACCTGTTTCTGGGTTTTTGGACCATACCTGGCAATGCCCAGGGCTTGCTCCTGGCTCTGTGCTTAGTCATCACTCCTGGCGCTGCTCAGGGAACCGTATGGGGATGGTGGTCATAAAACCTGGGTTGGCCGCGTGCAAGGCAAGTGCTCTCCCTGCTGCAGTGCCCGTGGAACTCAACCTTATGCTTGTCAGACAGGCATTCTTAGTCATGAGTATTCCTCTGGGCCCCTAGAGGAATTTTGTGTGTATTTGGATATGTGATTTTATTTGCAAATACATCTCTTATTTGGGGGGTTTTCTTTTTGTTTTTTTCTTTTTTCTGAGTGGGGCATACCTGATGTGATGCTGACGGGTAGCTCCTAGCTCTGCACTCGGGAATCACTCTGGTGAGTGTGGGGACCATATGGGATGCTGGGGATCAAACCTGGGTCAGCCACATGCAAGGCAAGCACTATACCCTTGGTACCACCTCTCTGGCCCCTCTTTTAGTGGGTTTTCTTGTCAGTATTGGTTTGATGATCTTTTTAGCACCACATGTCATTCCGTCCCTCCCCCACCCCCAGCGCGGACAGGAGAAACTCCTGAGCACTGCCAGGTGTGGCCCCAAAACCAGAAATCAGTGATTGACTAAATGGCATGAATGTATACCACATGAGGTTTTCACGATTCAAGAGAGGGTAACTCTGAATTGCACTTTTGTTTGTTTTGGGGCCACATCTGGCGGTGCTTAGGGATAATTCCTGGCTCTGCACTCAGGAATCATTCCTGGCATGCTCTGGGGCCATGTGGATGCTAGGGATCGAACCTGGATCAGCTGTGTGTAAGGCAAGCGCTCTGCCCATTGTACATTTTCTCCAGCCCCTGAATTGCACTCTTTATTTTTATTTTTTGTTTTTCTTTGGGGGTTTTTCTTTGGCGATGCTCAGGGGATACTCCTGGCTCTGCACTCAAAATTACTCCTGGTGATGCTCAGGGAACTATATGGGATGCCAAGGAATGAGCCTGGGTTGGCCGTGTGCAAGGCAAATGTCCTACCCGCTGTACTATCTCTCGGGCCTGAATTGCACTCTTAACGATGTTTTCCCTTCCTTCTAGATCTAAGCAGTCAAGTTCACTCAAGCTGGGTAATCATGGCAGAAGGCGGATTCGATCCCTGTGAATGTGTTTGCTCTCACGAACATGCGATGAGAAGGCTGATCAATCTGGTGAGATGAGCAGGAGGGTACTGTTCAGAGCTGGGCTGTCCCCCTCCCCCCACCCCACTGTCTTTGTGAGAATGTTGGTGATTGGGAGTTTGCATCTGATGGTCACAAAAAAATTGCCTCAGCAATTGAAATTCCATGGTGATGTAAGTCATCATGGCTAAATCTGTATTTATGAGTAATTATTAATGAGAGAGAAAAGGCAATTTGCTGCCTATTTATTTACTTCTGGGGCTACACTCCGTAGTGCTCAGGGCTTACTCTCGGCTCTGCCTGCGCTCAGGGATCACTTCTTACGGGACTTGGAGGACCATACGGGGTGCTGGGGATTGAACTTGAGTCAGCCACATGCAAAGCATGTAGCTACCCTCTGCATTATTGTTCTGACCCCTCCCCTCGACAGTCACTCTAGGCAGTGCTCAGCGGACCATATGGGGTGCCGACAATCGAAAATGGGTCGGCTGTGTGCAAGGCAAGCTTCCTACCCGCTGTATTATCACTCTGGCCCCATTCATGCCTTTCTTAGTGATAGATTTATGTTGGGGAGATTTCAACATCTTGGGCAGTTATCACCTAGTACAGCCTATTCTCTTCTGTATTAATGCAGAGAGTCTTTAACTACATGGGGTGTATGTAGGGGTATAATATCACAGATAAGTTAATACAGGTTTTACAGGCATTTGCTCAGAAGTTTGAATTGTTGATAGTTAATGAGCAGGTGTTTTTTTTTTTTTTTTGTACCTATCAGGTATACTTGGGGCTTACTCCTGGCTCTGTGCTCATGCAGGGCTCAGGGGATCATGTACGGTGCCAGGAATTTAACTTGCAACAGTGGGTCAGCTGTGTGTGCCAGGCAAGCACCCTGCCCTCGGTGCTATCACTCTGGCCTCAAGTTTTTGTTTTGCTTTGTGTACAGGAGATTGAACCCAGGGCAAGGCAAGTTCTTTACTGCTGAGGTATATCCCAGCCCTGGCAGTTAATAAGCAGGTCTCTATATATTGTGATTATATTAAGCAGGTCTCTATAGTGATTAATGCTATACTTTAATTTAAAAAAATGAAACCCCTCTCCAAGTCCATCTTGGAGTTTTGATGACTAGGGGTTGGGGGAAGGGGGAAAGCACACACTTATTTGTGGTGAATGCACGCTTTTTTTACATTTTATTTTACTTTCAATATTTTTGGCTTTTTGGGTCACGCCTGCCAAGGCTCAGGGGTTACTCCTAGCTCTGTGCTCAGTGAACCATATGCAGTGCTGGGAATCAAACTGGTGTGGGTGATATGCAAGGCAAATGCCTTAATTCTTATACCACCATTCTAGCCCCTAGACTTTTAATTTTTTTTTTACATTTAATTAAAAAAAATTTTTTTTTTGGGTTAGAGTATCATTTTCCTAAGGATTTTAAGTGATAATAGCTAGTTGTGAAACCTAGGAAAATTAGGGGTTGTGGGGGGTTGTTAGCCCCCTATGGTACTCGGCTACTTTTGGATCAGTGCTCAGATGTTGCTCTCAGCAGTGTTCGGGGAACCATGCAGTGCCAGGGCTTAAACTTGGGCTCCTGCATGCAAAGCGCAGGCTGAGCTCAATGAGCCGTCTGAGATCAGGGCTCAGATGGGAGGATTTTAATGATGAAAATGAATAGCCCAGGGCCAGAGCCGTGGAGCAGCAGGTAGAGAGCTTGGCTTGTGCATGCAGCTGATAGCTGACCCAGGGTTCAATCCCAGACACCACATACTGTCCCTTGAGTCCCGCCAGGAGTGATCCCTGAGTGCAGAGCCAGGAGTAAACTCTGAGCACTGCCAGACATGACCCCCCCCCCATAAAAGTGAATTGTAAAAATGTGTAGCTCTCTCGAGCCCCCCCACCCCCCAGACTCCCACTGTGTGTCATTAGCAACAAAGAAACAACAAAAGGGACTCAGATAAGTTTATAAAGGCAGATAAGAAGAAAAGTGGAGCCTGAGCAGTGGGATAGCGGGTAGGGCCCTTGCCTGGCATGCAGCCAAACCAGATTCGATTCCCAGCACTCCATATGTCCCCTGAGCCTACCAGTAGCAATCCCTGAGCACAGGACCAGGAGCAAGCCCTGAACAATGCCAGGTGTGGTCCCAAGAAACAATAATTAAAGAAGGAAAACTTCTTGTTTATTTTTGGCCACACCTGTAGTAGTGGTTATAATGGGGAGAGTTTCAAGGGAGGCTAGCTGCTGCTTCTTGGTTCTTTTTAAATTTTTGTGCCCTGCACTCAGGGATTACTCTTGGCAGTGCTCAAAGGGCCCTCTGGGATGCCAGGGATAGAACCTGGGTAAGATGTATGACAGGCAAATGCCCTACCTGTTGTCGTCTCCTGTCCCCATGGAGGCGGGACACTTTTTAAACTCATAGAAAGGCTGTAAGACAGACTTTTCTTTCCTTTTATTCTTTTAAAATTTTATTTGTTTTTGGTTTTTGGTCCATACCTGGTGATGCTCAGGGGTTACTCTTATCTCTGCATTAAGGAATCACTCCTGGTGGGGTTTACGGAATGCTGAGAATTAAACCCAGGTCAGCCACATGCAAGGCAAGTGCCTTATCTATTGTACTGTTTTTTGGCCCCAAAAGTTATTCCTGGTAGGCGTGGGGACCATATGAGATTCTGGAGATTGATCCCAGATTGACCATGTGAAAGACAAGCACCTTCCCCACTGTACAATCTCTCCAGCGCCTTTTAATTACTGTATCACTGTCATCCTGTTATTCATCGATTTGCTGGAATGGGCACCAGTAACTGTCTCCATTCATCCCTGTCACATGCTAGTGTAGCCCGATAGCATACTGGGGGCTCTTTCAGGGTCAGGAGAATGAGGACCATCATTGTTACTGTTTTTGGCATATCGAGTATGCCATGGGTAGCTTGTCAGGCTCTGCTGTGCAGGCAGGACACTCTTGGTAGCTTGCCAGGCTCTCCAAGAGGGATGGAGGCTTTTGGAGCAGCCGCTAATCACCTTTACAGGTGTTCCCAGTCAGGCATATACACGGGCAGGATACTTTCAGTAGCCTGCCGGGTTATCTGAGAGTGAGAACTAGACAATAGGAGGTTTCACTAGTCCACTTCTGGGTGTTTGGTTTTATAGTCTCTGGGTCTTGGCCATTGATGGGATTGCACGGCAGTTGGTGGGTGTTACTGTCTAGCTACTGAAAGATGGGGGATCTGGGTGGAGGAGGCCCAGTCTCAATGCAAGCAGGCTTGGAGATCTCAGCCCTGGGTCCCGCACACCTGGGTTCCTCTGCCGGTTCCTTCATGCATGAAGCTTGTCAGAGCGTGTGGAGAGTGGTCTTAGCATTTAAAAGGTTTTAGCACCTTTTAATAATAATAATAATTTTATTTTATTATTAAAATAAAAATATTTTATTTTTTTATTGCCTTGCACTCAGGAATTACTCCTGGCAGTGCTTGGGGGACCATATGGGATGCCAGGTAGTAGAACCCAGGTTGGCCGCATGCAAGGCAAACGTCCTACCCAGTATACTATCATTCTGACGTCCCGACTCCTTAGTACTGTTTAAAATTGGGCCACACCCAGCTGCGCTCTGGGCTTGCTCCTGGCTCTGTGGTCAGGGGTCTCCTGGTGGGGGTATGGGAGACCATATGTGATGTGGGGGTATCTAAAGAGGGCAGACCGCATGCAGGGCAAATCCTGTAAGTCCTGTGCTGTCTCTCCGGCCCCAGGCATTTCCTGTTTTAAGGGAGAGGACTCTGCCTGTGGTGCAGAGAGATGCACCTTCTCTTAGCAGTCAGAGATGACTCCAGAGTTGCAGAGGAGCCTGGACTTGTCCTGCAGCTCCAGGTGCTGGACCATGTCCTTCAGACCCCTTTCTGCCCCAACTGCTACTGGACCCCCAAGTACCCTACAGAGCACTGAAGGTTTGATCCATGGGGCTGTCAAGGGACCAGAGAGCAGGACAGAAACTTTGAAAAAATTCTAAAAACCAATTATAGCAACATCTTGGATGAGCCTTTCATACAGGAATAACGTCAAAGAGCTTTCGTGAAACCTCAGAACACACGTGCTCATAAGTTTAATGAGGAATCCAGATTCCTTTTCTTTCTAAGGAGTTGGACATAGAGTGTAGCTGCTGTGGAGAGCTGGCTGGTGCAGTGCATCTTGGATAACACTGTTCATGGCAGAGTTGATCAAACCAGCCAGCTCCTTGAACTGGGGCATCAGAAGAGGGGAAGAGCCCAATGCACTGCACTAGGTCAATGAACCAACCAATTGGATTTTCTCAACCAGGCTATAGTCAGTAAACTGACAACAGAGACAAGAATTTAGAGACATACCTAAGGCAACAGTGCAGATTTGTTATCCCTAAAGGAACTAAATGGCAAAACTACCGTTGGTAACTGTTTCCTGAAAATTATCGGATTTATGCAGAAGTACTTTTTTTGATCAGCTGCTATGTGTTTCACTGCCGTATTTATCCCAAGAAAAACAGCTTCCTTTCTATTTTTTTTTCTTTTTGGGTCACACCCAGTGATGTACAGGGGTTACTCTTGGCTCTGCTCCCAGGAATTACTCCTGGCGATGCTCAGGGGGACCATATGGGATGCTGAGAATCGAACCTAGGTCAGCCACGTACAAGGCAAACGCCCTAACCACTGTGCTATTGCTCCAGCCCCTCTTTTTCTTTTTCTTTTCTTTTATTTTTATAAAGTTGTTCACAGTAATTTATTACATTCCGTATTCCAATATCAATCCCAACACCATTACACCTTCTTACCACCACCCAAACCAGCTCCTAAAGCGAGTCCTAAATAATTTATTTTGTATTTCTTGTTATAAATAATCTGCTAAAAATTATCCAAAAAAGTTGGAAGTGTGTTAAGTTTGTTGTATCTTACCCTGAAGCTAGTAGGTCCTTGTATGAGACTACTAACATGCTACTATTGGTCCATCAGTGGAGTAAAGTGAGATGTCGTGTGGCCGCAAATGTGGCTGCACACTGCAGGAATTCTAAAATTTAA